TTTTAGATGTGATGGACAATTCTGTATGCAACTGCTGGTTGTTATGTGTTTGTTGAAGGAATGATAAATGTACCTTAATATTTTGAGAATGGCTACTGGGATCAAACACAGCCTAGCAAATTGTCAAAAGCACTTGGTTCCATTCCACCACTTTTGCTACGAGGATTTGGAAGAATAATTCAAATATGTATGCCAACACTCTCTAGGTGCTCCTTTTAAATATTAAAAATAAACTGCAGCAAACATTTTTACTTGGTTTGTAGACCTGAGAAGTACTGATTTCCTTTTTGCTCTGTAATAACCTAATTTATTTATTGTCTAAATTAGGGCAAGCAAATTATCCATGAGTGAATTTCCTTGAAACTGAAGATTACATTTAAGTGCAGAAGTAATTTTCATATGAAATATTTTCAACAGGGATCCCTGGGTGGCGCAGCGGTTTAGCGCCTGCCTTTGGCCCAGGGCGCGATCCTGGAGACCCGGGATTGAATCCCACATCGGGCTCCCGGTGCATGGAGCCTGCTTCTCCCTCTGCCTGTGTCTCTGCCTCTCTCTCTCTCTCTCTCTCTGTGTGTGACTATCATAAATAAATAAAAAAATTAAAAAAAATATTTTCAACAGAAGATATTAAAAGAGGGATCCCTGGGTGGCGCAGCGGTTTGGCGCCTGCCTTTGGCCCAGGGCGTGATCCTGGAGACCCGGGATCGAATCCCACGTCAGGCTCCCGGTGCATGGAGCCTGCTTCTCCCTCTGCCTATGTCTCTGCCTCTCTCTCTCTCTCTCTCTCTCTATGTATGACTATCATAAATAAATAATAATAATAAAAAAGATATTAAAAGAAAAAAACGATTACACATTCTCCTGCTTTCTTAGCCAGGATACTTGGCCTCTTCTCGATTACCTATAATGTCGCCAATATGCCAAGGTTACTGCACGTGTTAGACTAGATTCTAGTTGCTAGACTGAGGATACTCAAAACTACTGGAGTATCTAGGTCTTGTCCCTAGCACTTGTCTCTCCACTGAATGTGCACATACTGCTGTGTTGATTAATGCAAAAGCAAACAGAAGACCCTTGTCACCTTGTCAATTACATTTCCTCTTGCCAGCTGTTCTATCTCATGATTGCCTATGAATCAAGTGGGCTCTAATCTGGTCCTTTAGCTTAGATACATGGCTTGAGGATGGCTTCATCCTCAAGTTAAGCTCAACTATGGGCTCTGTGACATCTGTTTTTTCAATCAGAGGCTGTTTCCATTCATTTCCAGACTTATGGCTATGTTACATATGGTGGTGTTGCTGGGAATCGGATTTGTAGACAAGGAGAAATTTCCTCCACTACCCTACCAAATCTTCAAATGAGATACCAAATAAAAGGGGTTTAAAATCATTAATTTATACGGAACAATAATCATTATTACTTCTCCGACTATGATTCTAAACTTAACAGAAAAATGTACCAAATGAGCTCTAAACTTCACTTCTATCACCACATACACTTGAATTTTCTTCCCTAAGAACACACAAAACATGTAAATTTATAGTACGGAAGATGTGCACATGTAGATGCATACACTAATGCTCAAGGCGTTTAAACAATCTGAATATTCTAAAATATTAAATACAAGTAGCTGCTGTAAATATTTTAAACCTTTCACATGTCACTTATGTTTTAACAAGAATGGCAGGCTCTTCTTATGTGAAATTTAATATATTCAATAGAATCATGTGAGTTTAAGCCATAAAGCAAATGATATGATACTTTCTTTTTCCATGGTCCTTCAACAAATACTCTTAACCCTGACATCCAGACTTAGGGAGAGAAACTCTCCCTCTTCTGTCCAAGTGTTTCTGCACAGTGGGTAAGTGGCTTCACTGTAAGCCAATGATGTGTGGCCAGTTGGTAGAATCCTTCAGAGAGAAAACAGAAACCTCCCTCTGTCCTGCTAATCCCAGTGAGGGGTCTGTGAGGTCAGCAACACTAACAATGCAATCAGTTAGCAAGACACCATTCCAAAAGCCACTGCCCATAATCCAAAACTCATACCATTAAAAAAAAAAATCAGTACAACTGGCCCTTGAACATGTGTTTGAACTGTGCAGATCCACTTACATACACAATATTCTCAATAAATACAATGCTGTGAATGTATTTTCCTTATGATTTTCTTAGTAACATTTCCTTTTTCTAGCTTTATTGTAAGAATACTCTATATCACACATATACCATATAAAATATGCATTAATTGACTTTATATTATTGGTAAGGCTTCCAGTTAACATTAGGCTATTAGTAGTTAAGTTTTTTGGGGAGTCATAAGTTATACCCAGATTTTGGATCAAGCAGGAGTCACTGCCCCTAACTCCCTGTTGCTCAAGGGTCTACTGTACTACTTTGCTTCTCTAACATCCTTATTTCACAAGAAAGCAAACACTATAAGGAACTAAAGTTGGTACAATGTATTAACCTCCCTGAGAATTTTATATCGCTTCCTAAAATACATCCACATTATGTCTAATTCTAAGAGCAATTATAGCTAGACTGAGAAGGCAGAGTTTCATGGCTTGTTAGCTTTAGAGCTCTGGAATGTGTTTCTTAAAGAGACCCTTCCAAGTCCTAGGTCTTACTTCCCTACCCCAGGCTTTGGTGCAAAGAATATTCCTTGAAGGCGTCCATTTCCATGAAATTTGCTAGGATTCTTTGCAGGTAAATCATGGGGAGAAGCAAGCTTCAGCTATCTTTAGTGCAATTTATCAGATTTTGGTTTATATTTAAGTTGAATTAAATTGACATTGAATATGTCATTTTTGTTTTTTTTCTAAGATTTTATTTTATTTATTCATGAGAGACACAGAGACATAGGCAGACGGAGAAGCAGGATCCCTGAAGGGAACCCAATGTGGGATCAAGACCTGAGCCACAGGCAGATGCTCAACCACTGAGCCACCCAGGTGTCTCAAATATATGTTATTTTTGAATCCGCTTTGTTTTGCTCTCGGCCCTACCGCTCCACTGTGCAGCACTGCAATGCACAAGTGCAGAGAACACACCAGAACCTGAAGTCTCTAAGTATCGCTGCTAACCAGTGGACAACAGTCATAACCCGAGACAATAACATTTTATTACAATTCACACAAATTCCACCTCGATATAAGGGACTGTTGTATGACTTATTGTATTTTTTTCCCGAGCCCTTATATTGTCACTGATTATACCTCCAGAAGACAGAAATTAGCAATTTAAAAAATAAGGTCAGGGACCTGTGAATCAAACCACTGAGATAACCTTCATTTAATAGCCAATCCCAAAAGGACGCTTCAGTCTGGAACGCTAACATCCAGAAAGTATGATCATGTTAAACTACTTAACAGGTGTCTTTACCTCCAGTTCACTCCCACTAAATAAGTCATCTCTCTAAAAAAAATAAAATAAATCTACAAGTTTCGTTGTTTTGCTCCAAAGCCTTACACTACACAGCTTCAAAGCTATATTGCACACAAAGAACAAACTTACAAGCTGTGAGTACAACCGAATCCCCTAAGCTATGAACCAAAGTATGTTTTAAATCTCACCTTCTGCTGAGCAACTCAACCTTCTAAGTTCTGCTCCTGCCAGGTCAGCCTCACCGAATCACACAGTACTTACCAAGGACATCCTGGACTTTAACCCCCACCCCCCATGCTCCTGTTTACCTGAGTCCCTCTGCCTGAGTCCTCCTCTTCCTGATCCCTCTGAGTCCCCCTCAAACAGCACTTACTCTATGACACTTCTCAATCCTCCTCTCAGGGTCTGCTGAAAATTCCTCCGTATTTCAGTAGTTCCTGGATCAAAGCTTTACTTCAGCACCTCTCAGACTGCGTCACTTAAGAAAGAAAGTTCCGCATGCCTCCCCTTCTAGTTTCTTAACTCCTCAAAGTTAGAGACTGTGTCTTCTCTGGGCACATGGGGGTCTAGCAGGTGGCAGAGATGCAATCAGTGTTTGCTGACTATGGAAAGAAAGGACCACTGTGTGATATATTCTTTCTCTGGCAGTGACTTGGAGCTAATGCTTCCAACTGAGCTAGTATAGATGCGGAGGGTACTGGCTAATTATCCCAGATCAATAAATCAGGCAGAATGGGACAGATCATCTGACTACCTGTGTGTGTACAGGCCTCCTTCCTCTTACTTAATTCTGCACGCTCAATTGAAAAGAAAAATTATAACTAGTATTATGGCTGAACTATACTGATAAAAAGGAAGAGATTTTTTTTTCATTTTTCATTTTATTTACTCCAAACTGTAATATAAGCCACATGAGACTAGAAGCCTCATGGCTATGTAACAGCAGTATGGGCTTATGCAAATCAGTTAACCTCTCTGAGATTTATCTGAAAAACAGAGGTATGAAGGGTTTGATTGTCCCAAGGCCAGACTAGACTGAGGTATTTTTTTTTTTTTTAATTCTAAGATCTATGATTCCTTCCTTCCATCCATCCACCCATCCATCCATCCATCCATCCATCCATCCATCCATGAATGCTTGAGACCTCTTATAGCTCTAATACTCACAATTCTTCATTTTTGAAAGGTGGATTCAAAGAAAATGTAAGAAGTCCTAGAGATTTTGCCAGAATTCATACTATGTCAAGGAGAGTGAGGGAGGTTGCCAGCAGCAGGAAAGGAACTCACCAACACCCGATACAATTTTCTTCAGGTGGATTTGCTTGGGTTTGCTCCTTACGTGTTGTGTTTGGTTTCCTTGGCTGCATAGTTTGTGATATCACATTTAACTTACAAAGGGGGCCAAACAGGTTGTCGGATAAGAAATTTTAAAAAGATTTGGATAACAGACAGGGTGGACGAAACTCTACTCCATCATATTTGAGAACTGTCCATGGGCAAAGCATGCTGACAACAGCCATGTTCTTGCACACTTAGGTATTTGCTCTAGAAAAAAAGTAGACTGCACAACTAAAGAAATACATAGCTTGGACAGGTCAGGGATCATTCCAGTCTACCTTTGTTTCTGTTGCATGGGCTGTTGCCTCATAGCCATATACTGCATGTCTTCTTGCAGACGATTCAGAGGGGAATCTGGCTTGACACGAATCCCATAGTAATGATACTTGGAGTTTCCTCTTCATAAAAGAACAACAAACATTAGAGACACAGAAAGTCAGTCAAACCAATATTAATCATACAGGACGTCCATTTGGCTTCACATTGGGAAAGATGAGGTAAAAGCAACATATTTGTATTATATATTTATGACCTGCCTGTTCTGGATCACCTGTATATCTTTATGGTGGCTACATATGAAGAATCAAAATACGGTTCCAAATCTGTTGGCTCAGGGCCCTGCTGAAAGTCTTTCCTCATAAACTTAAATATTAGTACAGTAGCCCACTTAGTCCATGTAAGTTACACTTCTCAAATTTGTATTTTACATTTAATTTAGAAGGGGTAATGATGGAAAAAAGGTCTGGCCACTAAAAATTTATTAACAGGATAAAGGGTTGTGTGCTCAATGGGAATTTATTATAAAGTGGTTATACAAAATGAAGAAAAGAAATCTTGATTCTACTGACTCAGGTAAGTTCTCCATTTTTGCAAGTTCTATTACTGCAGGGATGGTGAAGGTAATTTCACTGATACAGAATGTTGTAGTGAAGTTTACTATTTATTATTTTGAAACCTAAAAGGAAGCAGGCATTTAATCCATTGATTTTGAAACATATCCTATTAGTTCCTGTCCTAATGAATTCATACTAGTTTTGTGGGCTGAATAAGATGTGTCACAACAGGCATGGGGAAATTTCTCTGTGAAAATGGGCAAATTTCCACCTAGATGAAAACTGTCACAATTTCCCCATGTTCATGAGAAAGACCACATTTGTTATTAGAAATGACCAAGTTTTGCTCTGAATGAAATTTGCAAATTCTTGCAAAAATAACATTTTAAATATGTAAATTTTTGCAAAGGGAAAATAGTTTTTCACAGGTCTATATATAGCAAGACATCAGCTGCTTTTTCCATTTTTTTCTTTCATTTACAGAAAGAAATGCAAGAAGAGTGTGGATTAAATATTTTATGTAAAAATAGAACAGAATTTTACTTCCAAAATTAAAGAACATATATCAGATGAAGCCTATATATTCAAAGACATTAAAATCTTATTATATAAATAATATTGCTATTTTTTTAAGTAGAGCATTTAATATCTATCTAGTTTTGGCAAAATAAAATGAAAATTTAAGGCCTTCTACTTTTGTAGAGATTAGATCTTATCTCTAAAATCCACTGCAGAAAAGAACAAAAAACAAAAACAAAAAACACCAACTAGTAGTCTTCTCTTTTACAAACAGGAGAAAGGTAGGAAGTAAAGAAGGGGTGGGAAGCAGTAGACATTCCATAGGGGCTATAGCCAATGACAGCTACAGGGTAAAATGGCGTCTCTCTTTGTAGACTGAAATAGATAAAGTGTCTAGTTTCTTCTCCGTTGCCTACAAATCAGCATTTTCATTGGATTTGTGGGGAGATGGTTGGGGGAGACTTGAATGTTCCACGGTCTTCTCTGCTTAAAAACTTGTTTTGCAGATGGGTTCTAACAAAAGGTATCTCTTGATTTGCCTTTGTTTAGGAACATGGTGATTTTATCACTTTGCTCCATAAAGTTGAGAAAAGGTCTAGTCTGGATTTGAATTAATTCACCAGATTATTTTATTGATGAACAAGTAACAGCTATGCACATAGTTCATTAAAAAAAAAAAGGCATCTGAGTTTGCCTCATGATTCTCAATACTGGTTTTCTTTCTGTTGTCTGGGTCAGGAGTAGTAAATGAATGCTACACCACTTTCCATGGTAGACTCTCTGGTGCTTTGCCCTCATCATTGTCAGTGTTTCAAAGTTAGAGTTCTGCTGTCTTCGTAACATAACATTTGCTTAAGCTTTCCCCATATGATTTCTCTTCTCCATATTCTTCTAGGTTTTCCTTTCTATCTCTAATTGACAGTTTTATAAGGAACGGGAGACACAACTGTTACACAGTGAGGGGGAACAACAGAACACTGGAAAGTCAAGGCAGCAATATTGTAATATGTACTTAGACAGTATGGATTCCACTCATTCACAAATCCAAACAACCCCAATTTTGTCCCTTTCTATTTTAAAGATGTGTTTCAAGGTTTGAATGGAGCCTCAAAATAGGACCCACTGAAATTCCTCTTAGTAGTGAAAGGAGAACAATACTATTAGAATGGTGAATAAAGCCAGAGTCTCAAAACATTGGGATGGTATGCATAATTACTGAGCCTTCGGCTAGGGGATAGTAGGGGAGATGCCCAAATAATGATTTTTGTGGTTCTGGGAAAAAAATATGAGAGAAGCAAAGAGCTTTTTTCAAGGGATTGGAAGCTTTAGTTCCTCTAGCTGGAACAATCATATTCTCCAGTTTAAAATATACTATTTTTTCAAGTATAGGTAGAAGAAAAAATATTTATGAGGGTACTGAACCTCCAGCATTCTGAAAGCTGTACAATCATTTGAAGTGCAACAGAAAGGAGTAATTCATACTTTGAATACACATAGACCTCATCAATGCCATAAAGCTGACATGTTCCCTCTTTTTTTTTAGCATAAATTTATAATGAAGCCAATTACCAAGGATCTCTTTATTTTATTAAAAATATTAAACACTCTTTACTAGACTACTAGGAGCTGTGACTTAAAAATCAATGAGGGGTAGATCCTCTAAATGTTATACGTGGTGTAGCATCTTTATTTTTATACTTTTTAATATGGAGTTCTGTAAGATTAGGAAATAAAAAACATCCATATCCTTCTGCCCAGCTTCTTAAAGTATTTATGTTATGATAATCTGTAAAAATTATAGAAAGGCAAAAATGAAGCTCTACAGTTCCAAGTATTATGTTCATCATATTTTGATTAGTAAAAACATTCATGTCTCTTTCCAAAGGAAAGAAACGAGAAGCTAAGAATCTTCACATTGTTGGTGTCTGTGCAATGAAAGTACACTATATTTTTATTTCTATACACACACAGTTTCACAGTCAAGAGTTTAAAAAAGGCTAAGAAGGGGTTAGACAGGCCATGTATTAACTGAGGGCTTCACACTCCCCAATTTTTCAAGTTCACCAAATGATTTTTAACTGATCTCCAGAAATGAAAAGAAAAACTCAGCTTTAATTTCTTACTCTATTCAAACAGAAGAGTTACTTATAAAGACATTGCAATATAATTTTGCAAGAGTCAAGAGATAGTTTTCAACTGACTATATTACTTATTCATCTCTAGTCTGATGATTTTTAAAAAGAGAAAACCATGATATATCTTCATCTTTAAAGCACCATGTGTAAATCTTACACTAACCGTTTGACTTGCTGATGTCTGTTATGATTTGAGAATCAGCTCTTCTCAAAGCTGTGCTCGGTTATGTTTAAGACAACGCATCACTCTGCTTTGGCAATATTCATAGTGAATAATGACCTCTTCATGAGAGACTGTATAAACTGAGCTATTTCCTTATTTTTTTTCTTTGGATGTTATCTGTAACCAGGCACTTTTGCTCAAACGATATACCAAACTACTTTAGTGTGAAAAAGAGGGATTAATTGATGATCTCATTTTTTTTTGTACTAACCTAGTTCCCAATCTCCTGGTTCGTAATCCCATAAAAATTGACCTTATTAGTTTTCCAAAAGAAGCAGCATTGACTGGATCCAGTTTGTGTTCCTGACAGTGTCGTAGGTAGTGGTTGTACAGCGTGCTTCTGGGAAGGCTCACTCCTTCTGCTGTCTCATAATTGTCCAACAGCCACTGGAGCTAGTATAAATAAGACAGGGTAAACACAGAGAAACCATATAATTGACCAAACTGTCACAAGCCACTACAAAAACAATATACAGAAATAGTCTGAAGATCTTCATCAGGCCTCGTAATAAGGTAAACTGCTGTAATTCAAAGGCTGGTATAATCTGACCTTGAAAACTCTTAGAAATGTAAAATTGCTGAACATAGTTTATGACCTCGGACCACTCTGTTCCTTCAAACATTCAAGTGCATGTAGAAAGTACTAATTTTCCCTGTATTGATTGCAATTTTGTAGACACCTCTTTGGGGAATTCAAATAATCCCATTAACCAGTCGTAAAAAAAATTAGAGAATTGCTACAGAACAAGACATGTTTCCAAGCCTGGCAACAGGGCACAGGATATGTCTTTAGTGTTGGTTTGTTATAACACATGAACAGCAGACTGCCTTGTATGATTTTTCGTATTGTTTCTATTCGTTTACATAGAATTTTAATTTACTTATCCAATTCACTCAAACAGGACAATGCAACAATGGTATTTTTATTGGCTCAAGTTCTCAAGCAGAAAGGAAAAAATTCAGTCATTTCTTCTTCAGAAGGAAAGAAATTCATTAGACACTAATTAAAAAAATATGTAATGAAGAGGAATTATTTCTTTCACTCATTGGAGTTTTTCTACTTCCATGCTGTTTTTTTTCTTCATAATTTTGGAAGATACATCACAATGGTAGTTGGTAAAGCAACATTTTCTCAGTCTGTAGCTCACATCTTAAAGGTTTTATGTTGTCCTGTATTTTTTAAAAATAATCTTTATAGAAAGTTCAAAAAAATTTTAGAAAATATAACAGTTATATACTACTGAATTTCAATAGCAGGAAAATTAAATTATTAACTCATTCATTCATTTATTTATAAAAGGAGAACTGAAATAGATTTAAATGACTTTCTTAAGGTCACAGATTGTCTCAGAGCCTAATATGGTTCCCAACACATGTTTCCTGATTACTTGCATACCGGTTGTTATTTCCATAAAGCAGCAAATACTTCACATTACTTGTCTCAACAAAATTTCCATGCCATATATAAGAGGTGTGATAAAGAAGTGATATTTTTACATGCAATTTAAATTAAACAGAAGTTACGGTAGCCCCAGAATTCCTGGCGTATCAACTGTGAGCCAGGCAATGTGCTCGGCACTTAGTGATGTAGAAATGAATGTAATCTCACCCCTGTCCGCTAGGGATTTACAATCATTCTCCGAAAAGGACAATATGGACTCTCAAATATATTAAAGCACTTCTCCATTTGCTTACATATTTTCAGCTTTGTGAACAAAGAACCTGAACTTTCAGACTCTTAGTAAGAAGATTCATTAAAAATATTTTCAGAATTATTGCCTTTAAGTATGACAACTTAATTGTCTGGAACCATTTTAATTTCAAATATTCCTACATGATGCTTACATTTAATTGAACTTATGTCATTAAACTCATATGGATGGCCACTAAGTCCACAAGATAGAACAGAGTACTTTTTCTTTCTTTTTTTAAGTAGGCTCCACATTGGGTGTGGAGCTCAACACAGGGCTTGAACTTGCGACTCTGAGACCCAGATCTGAGCTGAGATCAAGAATTGGACGCTTAACCGACTGAGCAACTCAGGTGCCCCCAGAGCAGAGTACTTTTAAAAATAAAGTTCATGTTCTGGTCAGGAAGACCTGAAGTTTTCTATGAACACTTATGCATATGAATATGTGCATTTAAACAAAACTATTGCCTCTATAACATACACAACCCTCCCTTTGTAAAAGGTCACACAAAATAAATGTTCATTTACATAATGACAGAAAAATTTAAGGTCAAAAAGAATTCTTCAGAGACCGATCGTCTGTAACCTGACCATCAGTAAAGTTTTCCAGAGGCACGTGATTTCTGACTATTCTAAATAACACAGAGAGTAAGTTCACTTATACATATTCATTTAGTATAAAAGAGAGGGAGTAAAATGATTGGGAAATCCAGTGATTAAGGCTCAGATTAGTACTCTGCCTATAATAGTGGGTCAGGATGTCTCTAGCATTTCTTTATAAGTTTTAAGATTTTGTAGGTTATGAATGCAATTGAAGTCAATGACACACAAAACACGGCCATACAAACCTGCCCCATCACTTCATCCATGTGCCTCAGTAAGACGACTGGCATCTGAAAGCATTGTTTCCTCACTTGAATGGTGTTGGGGAAGCTCTAGTGAACCTTTGGACTCAAAATATAGCCCAAAAGTGCTAGCTCTTGTTTTGTATGCATATACTAGATAGGGCCTTCCATTGGTATTCTAAATATATAAAGAATAGAAATATTGAACATGGAATACAGAAACATAGAAAGGAATATTCTCTGAGAAATTCAGTTTCTTGAGATGAAAGAATATAAAAGAAACACCAAAAAAATCATCCTCAGAAAAGCAAATTTATAAAAACTCTAAAAATTTTTTTGGAAAACAAGTATTTTGCAACTGAACCAACAAAAAGTGTCCACATCCACAAGCATGGAACACACATGTGTAAGTTAAAAATGTATATATTATCCATGCTTCCTCATTTAAGGCATACTGTCAATGCCAAAGTAGTATGATTTTGTAACAACAAAAAATCAAATATTTCTTTCTTTGCTAATGAACAGAACATATATCTATATAGGAAATGTTAATTTAAAGGCTATTTTTTCAGAAAAGGAAAATAATTTTAGAACTTGAACTTTATAGCCAAAAGTATGCAAATAGTAAACACAGATCTGACACAAAATACTTTTAACAAGCTATAAAGTAAATAATTTGTTTAATTAATGAGTTATAAATAGAAAACCTGTAAACTGCCTTAAATGTTTACTAGTTTTCTTGCAATATTTAATTACTTAAAAGAGAGATATCTCAAAATGACAGTTTACTATTTTCTCATGAAGAAAATTGTCTTGTAGATAAAAAAAAATCTGAAAAGCAAATCTAATAATAAAATATTTGAAGAGTATGATCTTAAGATGCCTTTTATAAAGGAGAATACTAGTGCAAATATTGAAGTTCAACATAAAATATTTTGAGTCCAAAGGCGTGTTTACATATATAAAAGAGTTAACCAGACCATTCTTTTTTTTTTTTTTTTTATTTATGACAGGCACACAGTGAGGGAGAGAGGGGCAGAGACACAGGCAGAGGGAGAAGCAGGCTCCATGCACCAGGAGCCCGATGTGGGATTCGATCCCGGGTCTCCAGGATCGCGCCCCGGGCCAAAGGCAGGCGCCAAACCGCTGCGCCACCCAGGGATCCCAACCAGACCATTCTTAATCAAAGAAAACTTTTCACAAAATTCTGAGAGAATGACAGCAAAAGTTGGCTTAAAATACCTGGAAGCCTGAATAATATTAGTCAAGCCCCTCGTGAATAATTCAGAGCAAATGAAGTTTTTGCTGGATTGGCTACGTGCTCCTCTGAAATGCTTAGTGAGTCAAATTAACTGGACTGACTGCTTTACACACTTATTGTTCTTACGCTATAGTTTTACATTCTTATAGGTTCTTTCTAAGGCAGTTCTTAAAAAATCCAAGTTTATTTGTAATATGTGTGTATGTGGTATCTATATACACATACATTTGTAGATAAATATTTACATATATATGTATGTATGTAATGTATTACACACACACAATCAGTAATTGGTTTAAGAGTGGGCGTTCTGATGACTAAAACTCTGATAGTAGCAAACAACATTTTGTTTCCTGCCCCTTATTTGCAGGAGGAAGCACTTTTATTCCTTGCCAGAAGGCTGGAGATCACTTTGGAAGAGCAGGAGATGGAGTGGAGGTAAAATGCCCTGAAGGATGGAGGCTCCAGCCAGGAAGCCTGAGGACAACTATACCACCTAAAGGTAGCTCTGCTCCTGGAAACTCAATAAATAAGCAGAAATTGGTTTAGGGGTTACTGGATAAGATTCTGAGATTCAGCAGGGAATTATAACTGTGCATTCTACATGCCAGTTATTTAACCTTCAAGTTTTGACACAGTGATGAAACTGTAAATCAGATATTTGAGTCTGAAACACAGTATAAGAGAGGATTAATTTGGCTGTAAAAGAAACTTGGCTGTTAACTATAACCTAAAGGCATACGTTTCTTGCACTGTTCAAAGGAAGTTAAGGCCTGTTATAAGATACCGTTTCCCTGGGTTTCTGTCTTTAATAAAATCCCTTTGGACACTAAAATTCAATGCCCTTAATATTTAGTAATTTAGGAATAAACTGTTCCTATTTCTTTTACCGTTATAAAATGTCATAAAATATTTGTTTACATGTATGGTTTTAAAATAAAAGCCTATAAAATACCATAGGAACTTTTAACCTTTATCTTTAAAACTTGATTATTCTACTAATGAACTAACACAAATTCACGTAAGGGTGGAAACCAAGATAATTGCGTCTTTCAACCTTTGCATTTAATCTATATTAATCAGGGTAGATTGGGAAAGATGAACGGTTCCTATTTTTCCCAAAGGGAAATACTGATTGACAAATTAAAAAAAAATACATACTGCATTCCCCAATTAACATCTAAATGTAACATTTGGCATTTTTTCTCAGATGGATTACTATCCATTAGGATTCATTTTAAGCTCAGTTCACTGATCATATGCATTTGACAGGTCTTATTTCTGTCATAACTTATATTTACAATATAGCAAAGTCAAGGGAAAGTGAATATAAAGCAAGAGTTTGCTTTGAGCTGAATATATTTCAGTAGCTAAACCCAGGAAAAATCATAAAAACTATTTGCTGGATTATAAAAAGTATAAAAAAATCAATGCCTAATGCTTCTTATATACTTTAGATGGAATTTTTTAAAAATGCACAAGCTCAAGAACATTATGTGGAAACTGGGAACAATTAGTTTAAGAATATTTGTGTTCAAAGTTGCAATCTAAAAATATCTCACAGTGGATGCAAAATAATCATTAAGTGCCAATTTATATTAATTATGATTGAGAAGTATAAAATAAACTTAAGTCTGCAATGATAGTCTAGTTTGTTGTAGGCAGACAATATATATCATTTAGTCCCACTGTATCTTTATATACAAAAGATTTAGAAATAAAAATATTTAAATAAAAATTATTATGTTAATAGAGTAAATTCTGTAAAGCTAAATCAAAAGTACCATTCTAAAATACAAGGAGATGAGTGATACCACCACTCTTGGTTATAATTTTTTTTGAAGGAGATTATAATATATATTATAAATAATACATAGTATATTATACATGGAGAGAAATAAAGTTGCCTACTCTTAAACTAAAGGTTGCCCATGGGGAAATGATAGAGTGATCATATATACTCTTTCACTCAAATAGTATGTAGGCAGAAGGCCGCTCTATGCCAACAGTATTCACAAACAAACCGATGGAAGCATACTTAATAACAAAATAATGCATGCATGAGTCCCCAAATAAATGTACACATGATTGGCAAAAGTATTTAGAATACTGGAGGTAAGATAAGGTCCATTCCCTTCTATTACTTGTTTTTTATGTTCATCCATTTAGCAAATATTTAGGAAACTGAGACCATGTACCAGGTGCTGCTCTATGCACCAGGGATGCATCAGTGTGTAAAACGCATAAAGTCCTTACTCTGTTGGGACTTTAATTTGTCAATATGTATTTACTGTCTGCCTACATGGTTTTACTGCTGAAATAATTGTCATTATGTGAATACTGATGATAATAGAAAAAAAACAAACATGGCACTCAGTGTACCATACTCAGTTTATGAGTGGGGTGCTATCTAAGGTATGACACTGAAAAGTATAAATGCATTTCAACTTGGAAGATAATAGCAAGATAATGATAAAAATGGAGCAGCAGTACTAAGTACTCTTAGGAATACGCTGAAAAAGGGACACAAAATTCAACGCCCCACTCCATCTTATTCCATCTTCTACTGTGTAGAAGAAAGGTGGAAAAACAAAGCAATTGTGTTGGAGTCTATTGACAGGAGATTATTTATTTGGTTTGACCTTTGTAAGAATTTTCTGAATTACTGTGAATAATCAAATGTCTAAAGGGAAAATAGGAAACCCATTCTGCCCCATATTCCAAAATAGAATGACAGTAGACTTTCTACTCAAAAATCATGATTAAAATGATTTAGTTTTGAAACTACTAAATATGGGACACAGATTATTGATCACTTCTCCCACTTTTTTGCTTAATGAAATTGATCCTCTCTTGGAACTGGAAAGTCAGGGGAAGTATCATCATAAAATTGGATCCATGTCCACTTTAAAAATCCCACAAATCTCAAATAAGTCTATACTACGTCCCATATAGTGAGGGATAAAGGTAACTTTCAGTTTATTGACAGTTAAAATATTAAGCTATTTTTTAAAAGCTTTTCCACTATAATTTTTCTTTACAAGTGAACATCACCAATTAAGTTAACAGAATTTAAAATGCCCTTCACAGCAGGTGGTTATCAAAAGAACACATGCAGCCCCTTACTCCAGTTGTTTTGGATTAATCTAACAAAAATGAGGAGCATCACTAACTTTCCGAGGACAGAAAAACAACAGGATTCTTGTTATGTGTTTGGGGAGAAACCTGACTGGTCAGCAGAGACACGATCCTTTCTTTACTGTTTACATATACCATCTGTAGAATCATTTGTATTTCTAAAGACTTGACTCTAAATGTGTTTTAAAGGAATTGAGCTACCTCAGAGGCATGATAAAAACAAATCAGGACATCTAGAAAAAGATTATCAGTGCATTTGCAACATTTACACCTCCTATATATACTGAAATGTCTCTGGCAGTTAGAAAACACTATGGAAGAGTTGCTGTGCTCTGTAATAAAAAATATGAAGCCAGAGAGTGATAAATATTTATTTGTTGTTTGTGCAGCTTAATCCACATTAAATATTAGTTCATAAGTTTTTTTAAATAGATTTTATTTATTTATTTGAGAGAGAATAAGAGAGAGAGAGAGAGAGAGAGAGAGAGAGAGAGAGAGAGAGAGAGAGAGAAAGTGAGCATGAGCAGGGAGAGGGACAAAGGGAGAAACAGACTCCATGCTGAGCAGGGAGCCCAGTACGGGGCTCAATCCAGGGATCATGACCTGAGCTGAAAGCACATGCCCAACCGACTGAACCACCCAGGTTATCTCTACTTTGTGAGTTTTACAAGAGAATAATAATTTCAGAGAAACCCCAACATATCTGAAAAGTTTCCAACAAATCAATAAAAATTAATAAAAAAACTCATGTTCTTATTATACCTACATTATTGTTCATGAAATACTAATAAATATAGGTAATTCAAGTTAAAATTAAACATATCACATATTTTACTAACCTGTATGATTCAAGTGAAAATGAGATATGAATTGAATAACAAAAAACAATTTCTTTGAAGTTTGAGAGTTAAAAAAGGTAACTGTAAGCTTCAGGGTTTTTTTTTTTTTTTTCCTATGTCCCTATACAGTTTTGGCTAAAAAAAGTGAACAATTTTTTTACTTGCCATTTTCAAAATACAAACAATGGTTAGTCACTACCTACCTCACAAAAAAACATACACCCTAACAGTGTACATTAAATCAGTCTTTATACACAACTACAGATTCGTGCTAACACAGCAGGGATATACTTATGAAACATATAAAAGAGTGACATATTGCATACAAATTTTCAGACTGGGGGAAAATCATATTCCTTACACTGTTTCAGAAAGAAAGGCCAATATATATATATATTTTTTTGAAATTTACAACCTACTGTTTTCACCAAAATTGCAAGCACTCCCCAAATTGGCCCACCTGCTTTTAATTGCCATAATATTTCCCCTTGAAAAAGAAAGAACACATGATATCCATCCAAAAACAAAATGTGTAAAACACATGGAAGTATTTAGTGTTATGCTGGAATATAAAATTTAAACTTTTGAAAAGTCAATTATTTAAAATGCACAGTGAAAACATTATCTATGAACTAAAAGTTTTAGGCTTATTGAAAAAATAAGAATATTTCATTTCAGGTGGGTGATCCAATTTTAGACTTTGCACTCACAAAATACAGGGAAGAATTTTAAAAATCATAACTTATAACAACTTAAGAATACATTGTCAGTTGGACAGTTGGAGGGAAAACTCTAAATCTTAACTGTATTGTCATGGATATTAATTTAGCAGAAGATGTGTCTAAAACAGATATGAGTCATAGGTCTATTTCCTTTTCCCCATATATTCAGAAATCATAGTAACAAAATAACTTTTAATCAGAATTTCCATCAGTTCCCCCAAATCTGAAAATGTTCATAGTTTTACAAAACTGTCATTGCCTTTTCAGACTTACCAGTGTTAGAGTGACGGCTGCATCTGATAACAGTTAAAAGTGTCAAGAATAGTAACAATGATCCTGTTTAATCTCAGTTATTAGCAATTTATGGCTTATCTAGAGTCTCACTTCTTCTCCTGGCCCAGTTTCATTTTACTGTAGGTCTCAAGACCTGCACTCATCTAGGCCACTGTTTCCTGCCCACTTTGTAGACTCTTACTGGTAAATAAATAATTTTCAGACAGTTTACCATTGGGTTTGGTATTAATCATCTTTTCCACTGACTACTGGTCATACAAGTAGACACGACCATTTCCCTGCTTCAGACACAGAGATGCAGATCACGAGCATTTACTTCACAGTCTATTAATACTAAACTAGAAAACTTTAAATATTTAAAATCCCCATTAATTAACTGTCACAAGTAAATGGCAGCTTGGTATTAACTTGGAAATGTTACATCTGTACCAAAACAGCACAAAAACCTAGTAAAGCAGTATATTGGGGGCTCGATTTTTTTAAGATAATCCCCTGTACAAAATAGCCATTAAGGAATACAGAGATCATAAGGGGCTGAGAAAGGAAGGTTAAGAAGCAAAATAAATAAGTAAATAAATAAAACAAGCATTTAGAAGCAAGCAACACATGCAGAACAAGCAAGAGATTAGTTTACATGAAGAAGAGGCAACTTACATGGCTGTTGAGGAGAGAGCTTCTGTGAGTGGACAGACCGTCAGACTTTTGCAGCGTCTCAATCGCCATTTCAATCTGATAATAGATGTCATTAAAAAAAGGGCTCAAGACAAGATAGTAATAAAAGGCTCACCAGAGAATTTTTGATAGATTCTCTAAAGTTCAATTTCTTCTTCAATGGTGGCTAATGAACAGCTCTCAACTAAATGTGTATTTCCCCCATTTCCCCACCCCGCCCCCAGAGAATAAGACAAAAATAGTTATGCTAAATAGTAAGCCCCATCACAAAAAGTACACCTTCCTTTGAACATTCTGTAATGATAATCAGAATGGAGGCCGAAGAGCAGGAACCCCGGTGGATTCTTTTAGTTATGAGAAAATGTTCTTGACTTTCAGAGTTCAAGATGTGGGGTAGTAACCACTCTCTAAACTGTCTCCCACCTAAGGAGTATTTAATATTTGCTCTATTTTGTCATGAAAGAAAAGTCACACTGCAGATTTTGTGTTTAACATGCATTAGTATTTTAATGCAAATGTACAGAAACCCCTTCATTAATGTTCAAAAGCTACTAAATCTAACCATTCCTCTCTTAACCCTGTATTAAAATTTGGAAGTGGAGGGTGATTAGTATGAACAAACACTAAGATGTAATCACAGCCCACCCCTACGTTACATTTTAGGAAGTGGTGGTGAGGCAAAGCTATTAGAAATGACAGCAGAAATAGAACAAGAACATAGAAAATAATTCAGAGTCAACAAAGAAAAGGACAACTACAAAAACAGTTTTATATCATTTAATCTCAGCATACCATGAGCAATCACAGCACCTTAATTAAGGAGCAGGTGCCAATAAATGGGATGCACTCTCAATAACCTCATACTGAAAGATATCTATTCTCTCGGCTCCTAGCGATAGAGCATGTACTGTAAAATCAGGTTCTGAACACACTGTATTTGATTACTGGGTTTTATTAATAATTTTGACTAAAGTTAAATTTAAAAATCACATTATGTAAGAGAGAAAATTGATTTCATTACTTTTATTTCTACCACCTGATCAAATCAACAATTCAGTATAAGCAGCTCTAAAAAATATTTAGTGCTTTCGAATGTAGTTAACTTATACTTCACAGTGGTAATGGAAATTAATGATGTCTTGAAATTCTCACAACCCCCCCCCCAACAAAAATGATGGACAAAAATGTCCATGGCAAAGTCTTTTTTCCCCCACCAACCTTCCAATTGCTTTCTGGTGGAACTTTATCCACAGGATGTTCAGTCTCAATTATATCAGCACTAAATCCAATTTTCTTCTAAGCAACTTGAGAATTTAATAGCTTTAATTCTATTTTATGTTATTTCTACAAGTTACTGGTTCTTCCCCCCTAGAGTTAATAAGATATAATGCTGACAAAAATCTTGGGTTAGGAACTATAGAAAAATATTTTTAAAATAAAGATTATAATAATTCATAAGATGATATAATATAATTTGTTTCACTGTTAATTTTTTAGATCACAAAATTAAGTAACCTGGCTTCTAAAACACTCTCCCTGAGGGATGGAATGTTCATGTAGTTTACCATCACACTTGAGAAACAATGGAAGGTGATATTGTACTAGTGAAAAAAGACACTTTACAGAAAGAGCAATGTAAATGCAGTAAGTAAGCAAGCATTTCACTAAAACGTTAAACTGCAAAACTATAAAGGACCCCGGTATTGCATCTTTTAAAAAGGCATCAGTAAGTGTTCCTGTTTTGAAAGAGAACACATATATCAAAAAACAGCTGAAAAGCCTCACCCTCACGTGACTTTAGATCACTTCTATGAAGAATTCACTCAAAAGTCTAATTTGCTAAAATGCCTACATTTTCTTGCAAGTTTGAGTGTGGAAAATTCGAGGTTGGATTTCAGTCTATTAAATAAAAATAAAATGACTTGAGTCATGGGATTTTCTACATTGAGATGAAAGGTGAAAATGATCAGAGATGTCACTGTAGTACTGATGGCGAAATCCATGTCTGTGTTTATCAATCGGCAATTTTAATTTCTTTATGACTAAAAGGATTTGCGGTTGCTGTTTTTATCATTAAAGGTGGGCCTGGGAGACAAACATTTTCCATTTCTTCCTTAAAACCAGTGAAGCTTTAGACTATGATTATACAGGAAGTTATTTTTTGAAAAGTCAATTCTCTGAACTAAGGTTCAGTGCCCCATTGTATCTCTTACTGAATAATCATTCTGAAGCTGAGTCACCAGGAGTGTACACATCCTCTCTGCAATTATCTACTGCTAGGATACGTGGTGCTTGGGAGTTTAGGCTGGTTCAGGTGACCCTAGACTATTGCCTCATAATCAGATAAGAAGCTATGGCAACTCATCTGAGATCAAATGGTGGGATGCTCCATCCCAGATGAGATGTCCGGCCTGGAAAGACAGGCTTTTGGAGCATTAAGTGGGATTACTGGGGTGAGACCAAGAAATTCCTTGTGTAAAAGAGCAGGTAAGAAACTGCTGTCCATTCCAGACAATCTGGGGATGTGACTTCCCAGAAAAATCAGTCTTTTCTGGAAAATAAAAGAAGATCCCCATCAATATACTGGGGACACTTTAAAACCCTCCAGATTCACTGGCTTAAAACAGGACTCCCATGAGAATGGGGATTGACCTTTGGGGGTGATTCTCCACAGAAGACAGGAAACTTTGCCTCAATCCTACTGCAGACAGATTTTCAGCAATGGGAGAAGAGGGTTTTGCACTGTGTTTAGATATGCTGCTGCAATCTCAGAGGAGTGGCAGGCCTGGGGGGCAGAAAAGCAAAAAAGAGAAAGGAGACCTTCTCCAGCCCTGGGAATCATGCACAGTCTCCGAGGCTCAGAGGCAACCCCAAAAGAATGCCTGGCCAAGTCCAAAGAGTCAAAGCGCAAGCAAGGAGAACCTCCTACATTCACACATCAGATTTCTTTCTGATCACGAGGTATCAAGAAGATGCAAAGACGTCTCTGCAGGGTGTCATCTGACAAGGTACTACGGGGCAGAACATGAAAAATCAGGCCTGCGTAGAGCAACTGGCTAAGAGAGTCATTGCCAATGGAGACTATTCAGAGAAATCAGACCTCATCAGAGAGCATGGACCCCTGTGAGTTCTGTTGTCAGTAAAACTTAATTTGGGTGAAGAGGAATGGGATGCCACCCGCTACATGAAAAAAAAAAATTGGGGATTGAGTCACCAGTTAGTCATTACAGAATTAAAATGAATACAGGCATAAAACACTTAGCTTCCTCACCCAAATGCTGAGTTTTCAAAAGAGAGACACCCAGGGAATGGCAGAGGTGGGTTTCTTCCACTTGGGCAAAAGACACTGCATACTAAGTCTGCAGTGCTAGTTAGAGACTGTACCAACTACTCCACTTCTGGTACAGAGAGTGGCATGATCACAGTGGTGATAAAAATATGACCACATGGCAACAAGCAAACCTTAGTTCCTGCATGGTAGATTGTGTGTGTGTGTGTGGGGGGGGTGGTTAGATTTAAGAGGAAAAAAAACCTGGACTCTGTAAGGCAGAAGAAACCCCTATTATTTTGAGAGTATATCAAGGGTATACATTGTGGCAGATATTGTACCACTGAAGGAACCCTTTCCGGATTTCCCAGGAATTAGGATCAGAAATCTAGAGGAGGCCAAGGAGGTGGTATATTTCATATCCAGGAGAAAGAAAACAAAACAAAACAAAACAAAAACAAAACTCAGTGGAGCTCCTCCAAAAAAAACAGAGCAAATCCTCTAAGATGGCCTTGAAGGGGATAGGGTACCTATCCTCTGATGGGGAATAGATAACAGTATGATAAAGATAAACATGTGGCCTCAAATCCAGGCTGCAAACTCCAAGTCACTACAATCCTAAGACTGCCTTGTTGGAATCAAGGACAGGTGGAGAGTGTCTAACCACCCAGGGTTTCCCTGAGGCCTGTACAATATCCAACCAAGAACCAGTGTCCCAAAAAGGGCTTGAGAGGAAAGTCTCATCCAAGCCCTTAGGAAAAGAGGATGGGAAGAGGAGAAGGGTCAGGTGGTGTTGGGATGTTTGTATCATACAAATATCATGTTTGTACCTTCTCCCAAGCTCAAAGAAGGGATCAATGCTGTAGTTTTTCTAAGGCAGCAAACACTTTTAAAGACTAAACTGAAATAAGAAAAAAACCCATTTCCCCCATTATTTATAATTCCTCATTATTATTTACAATTGGTCTTTATAGTTCCCCATAACTTGTATTATGGATGGCTCCCTTATTATTACAGGATGGCCCCTTGTTTCACAGAGTTGCTCCTGCTGCTAGCAGGTTGGGAAGTTTACAGGAGGTGGGGATCTGGGAAGATCAAGGTCAACGTTCACCTCCCCACAGAAAGAATGCGTAGACTGCAGAGAACAGGGTCTTACAAAGGACTTGAGTGACTGTGCTCTGGAGACTGTGATGCTAAAGGCTCAGCTTTTCCCCTACGAAATCTTCATCAAATCTACCCCACTCCCACATACTGCAGGTACAAATAATCAAGGCTGGCCGGAGGACAGGGTTCACTTAGGGGTGATGGATGATGTCAAAAAGGTAAACTGAGGTTTGAAATGCAGGGAAATGTGAAGAGGGGCTGAGTCTTGTGTATGAGATGAGATGCATGGGGTGAAAGAGAGGCTCCCCTGGACATGTGATTTATATATCCATTTATGATTGCCTAAATGACAGCTCAAATAGAGTATCACATATGTAGACAATCAAGGCTCTCTTTCAATGTAAATATCAACCAGTCATTCCATTACATGTTAATAAGGCAGTAGGAAAAAGAATAATTATATTACCTTAGTCATTGTCTTTATAGGTCAAGACACATTTTCTTGACTCTGAAATGGCTTTTTAATCTATTTTAAAGACTAAAGGTCAAGACTGATATATTCAACTGCCACTGTAATTAAAATTGGTCTCTTGGTAGAAACTATTTCCTTCCTAGAACAGTTAAAGAAAGTGATCTAAAAATAGAAGTAATATAATAATGGTTTATGGTTTATAAAGCCTTTCTA